GTCGAATACTTATGCTATGAACAAAGTATTCGAATACCTTAAGAAAAGTATTCGAATACTTGATGAAGTATTCGAATACTTCACGAAAAATATTCAAATGCTTATTGGGCAGTAAGTATTCTAACGGCTATAAATAGCTAGTTTCGTACCAACACCTATATAAACTCATTTATTACGATTCAGAACACCAAGAATTATTGTTCCATTGATTTTGCTATCATTCTTGATTATTCTCATTGAATCAAATACATTCATTACTTGTTCTTACTCATATTGATCATAAAACTTCTTTGAGCTTCATTCTTGTGTCATTGATCAATACCCATAAGCTTCTACTTGTATAATATATACTTCAAGAGTATAAATCCATTTCAAGTTACTAACTACTACTACTAAGTGATCTCTTCCTTTCGGACTTCAAACCCTTCAGGAGTCGATGATGTTTTTGTGTGAAGGTGGTCCTATTTATAGATGGAAGAGTAGTGGCAAGGTTGTAAATCCTTTGGAGCTAGTTGCTTGGATGAGGGGACGGGACGGTGGCAGCAGAGTGTGAAGATTGCGTGAATTGCTGGATGGGGCAGGATTTGGTGATGATTAGCCGTTGTTTGCAGACCTTCCTATGCTTTGCTTTCTTTTTCAGCCAATGAGAACTCTTGATTCTCTGCTCTTCACGTTTCCAGCTGCTTAATTGGTGCACCGCCTTGCTTTTTAGACGTCTTTAACCCTTCGTCACCTGCAAAGTGTACAGAAGCAATAAATGAGTGGAGCAGGTGCATTAAATGCGGCTCAGTCCGTTCCCCTTTTAATATATTTTAAAGGAATACGTTACCATCCGTTCCCCCACTGTGTTTTTGTCACAAATGTGGAAAACAAGAGCTTTTCATGCTGAAGTTTCTCATCAGATGAGGAAACATATGGTATTTTGCCATCAAAATGGGCTTAGATGGGTACGAATTTACGTCCCATCATGGAGCATCTTAGGACTGTTCTGCAAGTGCTGAAGGAGAAGAAGTTGTATGTGAAGCCTTCGAAGTGTGAGTTTTGGCTTAAGTCTGTGCAGTTTCTTGGGCATGTTATTTCTGCTGAAGGAGTTGCAGTGGATCCGAACAAGATCGAAGCCGTGCTGGATTGGGAGAGGCCCAAGACAGTTACGGAAGTGAGGGGCTTTCTGGGTTTGGCCGGTTACTATCGGAGGTTCATCAAGGGATTCTCCACCATGGTTCTGCCATTGACTCACCTTATCCGGAAGGAGACTCCATTTGTGTGGACTCACGAGTGTGAGGTTTGCTTTCAGGAGTTGAAGGAGAGACTGACTACTGCTCCTGTGTTGGTCCTTCCTGATCCTGCGCTCGAGATTGAGCTTTACACCGACGCCTCCGGGAAGGGGCTAGGTTGTGTGTTGATGCAGTTGGGCAAAGTGATTGCCTATGCTTCGAGGCAGTTGAAGCCTCATGAGGACAATTACCCTACTCATGAGTTGGAGTTGGCTGCTATTGTGTTTGCTTTCAAGATTTGGAGGCATTATCTTTTTAGTTTGAAGTTTGTAGTGTTCAGTGACCACAAGAGTTTGAAGTATCTCTTCGACCAGAAGGAGCTGAACATGAGGCAGAGAAGATGGATGGAGTTCATAAAGGATTACGACTTTGAGTTGAAGTACCATCCTGGCAAGGCCAATGTGGTAGCTGATGCTTTGAGCCGGAAACCCGGGAGCTCATCCAGTTTGTTACTTGGTAACTTTGATGTGGTTGAGAAGTTCCGAAACCTGGCAGTGATCGCTCCGCGTGAGGGTGTACTTCTCGAGCTGGAAGCAGCGGATGTTGTGAATGAGCTACTAGAAAAGATTAAAGAGGCTCAGATTCAGAGGGAGTGCCTGGATTACATGAAGAACCAAGGCGGTGTGTCTTGCAATGAAGATGGACTTTTTTGTTTCAGCAGAGGATTGTGATTCCTCGAGGTCCGTTGATCGAAGAGGTTATGGCTGAGGCCCATAAGGGTCAATTTTCTATCCACCCTGGTGCAACTAAGATGTATCAAGACCTGAAGAAGAACTTCTGGTGGCCGGGCATGAAGAAAGATGTTGCTGTCTTTGTGTCCAAGTGTTTGGTTTGCCAGAAGGTGAAGATTGAACATCAGAAACCGTCTAGTGAGCTTCAACCTCTTGAAGTACCACAGTGGAAGTGGGAAGGTATTTCCATGGATTTCGTGGTGGGTTTGCCTAAGACTCAGGCGGGTTGTGACTCTATCTGGGTCATTGTGGACAGACTGACGAAGTCTGCCCATTTTCTTCCAGTGAAGGTAAGCTTCACTACAGAGCAGTTGGCCATGCTTTATGTTTGCGAGATTGTGAGGTGTAACACCCCGTATATATCCGGTAAAGTTATCATTACATCGTATTAAGCTACGCTTAATTAAAAATGCGGAATATCTTTTTCTTTTCCAATTATGACGTCATTATACTTAGCCAAGTTGATTACTTAATCACTTTCATGAAATAACGCCTGAATGTAAATTGCAATAAGACATCTACTGAAATTCCTCAATATATAATAAAGTGAGTATCTAAAATCACGGATCTACAACTCGTAGTCCGGACCATCATCCTGATACATTATTACAACTCCAAATAAAACAAGACATAAACAAGTCTAAGTGTCATGGACAATCCCCATGCTCACCAAATCAACATAATAATCCATAAACATAACTGAAGCTAAAAACATAACGCAGCATGCATAAACAGCATCCAACAAGTCAGCATATACAACAACAATTCTAACTCAGCTCCGGCCTCCTGCCGCCTGAGGTCTCAACATTACCTGAACCTGAAATAAGCGCCCCAAACGTGGGGTGAGATCTCTAAACAGAAATCTCAGTAAGACAAGGGGTCCTCAAGGATCTTCCACCCCAAGCTCACTTACATGTGCAATATAAGTTCAAAAGCAGTAATTCAATATAAGTTCTCAAAACTATGCAGTGCAACAGATATTCATGACATGTGTGTTGTAACTATTCTACTAGCCAGAGAATGCAGGAATACGTCTATTACCTACAGTAGTGCAAGGAACATCGCTTGCACCTCACCCACAGCCTCACCATCTTGTATGTACCACATACTCAGGCTTACCGTATAGGTGGAACACCACATGCATATCATACAAGCACTCGCATATAACAGCTCAACAGCATTTCAACAAATCAATATATCATGAAAACAACATCATGCATATAACCATACCCCCATGGGACATGGTGGACCCAACAATGGCTAAACCGAGGACACGAAAGCTTACCTTGCAAGCTAGCTATCCAAGCCAAGAGTCCACAACCTCAAAGTCCACACACAGCAGTAACACAATCTGTTATAGACCAGTAACATATCAATAAATATGCACCACAAGCATACAACTTAAAGACAACGCCTTTCCTTTACGTTTTACGTCTTAAGGCTTCACACAAGCCATAAGCCCTTAATCACATGATTCTGACTTAGTTCAATTAAAACAGAAGTTCAACTTCATCAATCTAGGGCCACAAACCCCCAATAGCCCATTGTATGAACAGTGCAGCTACTGTTCTTCGATATCCCAGAATATCCGGATATTCCTTGGGGGCATATCCGGATATCCAATATCCGGATATCATATCCGGATATCCATATTCGGATATCAGAAACCCCATATTCGGATACCAATATCCGGATACCATATCCGGATATCATTATCCGGATATTTCACGATCACATATCCGGATATTTCGCGACAGAATGCAGATTCTGCATTTCGCGAAATTCCAAACCAAAGGTCCAACTTTTACCGATTAAAGACACTTAAACATGCATTTCTAAGTGTGTTTAGCTTTACCCAACGTTAAGTTATCATCTTTTAACCATTACATGCATCAAGGTTCCATTTTTTAGCATCAAAACTCAAGTTAAAGGGTTTAACCACTCACCAAGCTCCAAACAGAAAAGAGGGATGCTCTTGGAGCTCACAAGGCAACCCCAAGGTTCTGACTCCTTCAAGAAACGAAAATGACACACCAAGGTTGGTTCTTGCACCCAAAGATTACTCCTTGGACCTCAAAGTGCCATGACAAAAGCTCAACCAACTCAAGCTCACCAACTCAGCCTACTACCCTCACACACAGAAGCTGAAACACCAAGAAAAGGCTTCCTCTCACCCTCTCAAAGCCACCCACAAGTGTTTACAAGGAGGAAATGTGAAGAAAACCAAGAAAGATAGCAACTTGGCTCAAGAAATGAAGGGGAAGAGCAATGGAGCACTATTCTGGTCAGCCTCCACCAACAACTCACGTAGGAAACTGTTTTCTAGGGTTGTGTGCCCTTAATAAGAGTATAAATAGGTCACTTAAGTATTAACACACAGTTTTAACTTTAATTGCTACGCTTAGCATTTTAATCCCAAACTCAGGATTCTTAACCTATTCAATTTTACAAGAATTATCATATTTTTATTATAATTTTTCGAGCATATTTCCGGTAGGCGTTTTTCCATAGCCAGTATCAGTTCTGGCACCAGTTCTCATTATTTTAACTTGAAACTCATTTTAAAAGTCCTATATATTATTCTAGTAATTATCATGCACTTTTCATAATTTTCCGGGATACTTTTCCGGTACGCATTTATACCGACTAGCAGAACCGGTATCTGCACTTTTATTCCGAAAAGCGACTTTCAGCATTATTAACCACTTACTATATTTATTTAAGCCTTATAATAATTATTACGGTCAATTATGGAATCATTTCCTAATTAATCATAATTAACCAATAAAATACCTTATTTAACGGTGCAGGTTCTTACATTCACCCCACCTTTTTAGGATTTTGTCCTCAAAATCAGAAACATTCCTGCTCGAAACTCGGGGTACTGCCGAAGAATCTTGTCCTCACTGTAACACCCTCCCTTGTATGCATCCAAGAGAGTTGTTTGCTAAGCAGAATTAGAGTTCTTTTTGTCTTTCTTTAAATACTGAAAAAAAACATTTTCGATGTGGCCAATTAAAGCTTATAATTGAAATCGGGTTACTTACTAAAATCAGAGTGACAATTGAAATTTTCGTAGTTTGCTGAAAATATTATTTTGCTGACAGACCTTGCTTCCTTGAGAAATTCGTATAAAATCAAGTTTTCAGAATTTCACTGTAAAACTGTTATAATCAGAAACTAGACACATGGGGCTTCGCGTGCATATAAATTATAAGATAATTGGAGGTCGTTAGCCCCTCGAAACATAACTCGCAAGGTGCTTGTCAATCTGTTTAAAATTCAGCACTTAATAAAACGTCAGAAATCATTTTCTTGCAAAATGTTTCTAAATTCGTTTTTAAAATACTTGCTGGTCATAAATGTATTAAAACAGCAATAAAATCATAGTCCAACAGTAATCCAAGTTTCTTAAATTAATACAGTCATCCATCAAGTAACAACAACAACAACAACATTCCCACACAGCAGAATTTAACAGCAAAAAAACCAACTAATCAGAGTCCTCAAATGCTCTTCCGTCCTCCTGCCATTTTATAAAAATAGCAGCCCCAAAGGGGTGAGAAAATCCCAGTAGTGTGATAACAAAACCAATAAATGCAACAGTACTAACTAGATACAGAACTATAAAACAGTCGCGTCATCAAGTTAAATCCTTCCAAGAATAATAATATCATAGCGTATATAACGCCTAGAGGTTGCGCATATAACGCCTAGAGTACGTTCATAGCACCATAGTGCACGTACATAACAAGCACAGTGAATATTCCAATTTGGCTCCTAACAAGAAGGATTCCAACTGCGGCCTATGCGGACTGAAGCCAAGTGTCCCATTCCCTGGTACCGAAGGGATGCCTACATGATGCGTGCTCAAGCGTATGCATACTTTTCACAATTATTTTCAGACAGAAACATGAAACTTATGCATGTATGCTATGTCATGGTTCACATACAATAAAAATCATGAATGTGTATGCATGACTAGATAATAATCAAGTTTATATATATACTTATGGATTCAATATCAAGATGCCGAAGACATATTAATTCACAAGATAAATGGCATATCAAGTTCAAGAGCAGAATCCAAGTAATATTTACAAGAAACCGGTCATGAGAGCAATGCTCACAACTCATGCACCAGCTAGCAGTCACAAGGGGTAATGTCCTAGACACTTACCTCGAGTCTTTAACCTTTTTTTTTTATCAAAGCATCATCAATCAGCCCACACTTTTAGAGGTTAGCACACCTAAACATTAGGTATCACAAAAAATCAGAATTCGCATCTATTGTTCCAATAAAATACATGTACTTTCCATGTTCTCTATTCAAGGCTTCTAACCAATTTACCATGCATCCCATGTTATTAAATTTTCTGTTTTAGATTCATAGTTACTTATTGCTAGTAACGACACAACCCAATGCTTCCCATGCCTACCATTTCGGTTTATTTTTAGGCCATTACTAGTGACTTGAAACTTTCAATTACTCAATCTTCTCTTCAAGACTTTAGACGAGCTCAAGAGGCTCTTAACATGTTGTCAATACCGATTTAAATATGCAAAGTAGATATAACAATTTATTCCAACAAAACAGCCTACCCAATGATGGAGAATATATTCTAAGTTCCAAAAGTTGATTCTGTAGGTTTACATGCATTGTGGGTCGAAGGTTTCACGGCTGAACAGCAAGGAAAATGATAGACAAAGAAATTATCCACCCTAGGACACACACATAAGCAGGAGGCAACAAGAGGAGCTTGGGGTTCGGTTTACATCATCACTAGGTGCCTATAAATTTATTGTTTAACAAAGTACTATCAATTGCTAGCTATTAACAAAGTCCCAAGGTGGCCTACACCTTCTGATTCAGTTTTGTCCAGATTTCATGTGCACAATATTATTTTATTTCCACAGCATTTCTATAAGACTTACGGTTGGGGAGGCAAGGTCTTAGGCAAGTTGTACATACCAATTTATCACAAACAAGGTTTAATCAAATTTTGTAACCCAAGGACCGGTCTATCAACATTGAGGGAGTTATATTTCCAACTTCAAAATTTCAGTTTAGGCTCACAAACATTCAGTCCTAAGGCTGTACAACACTACAGAATTAAGGGAGGGAAAATGGCCAACATAAATTATCCTCCTATCATCCATGTAGTGGCCGAATAATTAAGGAGCAATTAAGGATTTGACATGAGACTTACTTTTATTTGTAGGCACTCGATTCTATGGGAGTCCAAGGGCAGAAACAAGGAACAAAATGACACAGATAACTCTCTTAGATTATATGCAGAAGCCAATTAGAACAAATAAAGAGAGATGACAAAATACATTTTCCTAGGTACATATGCAAGTCGAATCAGAGGGAAAAGTGAGAGAGTGTTATTTCAGACTCTTACCTTTCATAAGTTCCCTATCCGCTATCCAAACTGTTGAGAAATTCGTTTCCTCAAACTCCAATGTCAAGCGGGTCCAGGGGAAGCCTGTGGCGGGGGCCACCACCAATGAGCTAAGGCTACACCAACCGTAGCAAGTGGATCCGACACCATGTCTCAACCCAAAACCTTAAGGCATTGGGTTCATGAGTCCTTTCAGTTATATACACTTCACTTAGTTCATTACCAACCAATGTGGGACTCATCACACTTGATATCCCAACAATCTCCCCCTCAAGTGTGAAATCCACCATTGGTATGCTCCCCCCTCAACCGAGTACCCGAAGCGCAAAGTACTCGACCCGCCTCCTAGCCAATCACATGGCTAGATCGAGCCCAATCCGGCTCTGATACCACTGTTGGGAATTTCGTTCCCTCAAACTCCAATGTCAAGCGGGTCCAGGGGAAGCCCGTGGCGGGGGCCACCACCAATGAGCTAAGGCTACACCAACCGTAGCAAGTGGATCCGACACCATGTCTCAACCCAAAACCTTAAGGCATTGGGTTCATGGGTCCTTTCACTTATATACTCTTCACTTAGCTCATTACCAACCAATGTGGGACTCATCACACTTGAATATCTCAACAATCTCCCCCTCAAGTGTGAAACCCACCATTGGTATGCTCCCCCTCAACCGAGTACCTGAAGCGCAAAGTACTCGACCCGCCTCCTAGCCAATCACTAGTCTAGCTCGAGCCCAATCCGGCTCTGATACCAGAGTTGGGAAATTCCTTCCCTCAAACTCCAATGTCAAGCGGGTCCAGGGGAAGCCCGTGGCGGGGGCCACCACCAATGAGCTAAGGCTACACCAACCGTAGCAAGTGGATCCGACACCATGTCTCAACCCAAAACCTTAAGGCATTGGGTTCATGAGTCCTTTCACTTATATACACTTCACTTAGTTCATTACCAACCAATGTGGGACTCATCACACTTGATATCCCAACAATCTCCCCCTCAAGTGTGAAATCCACCATTGGTATGCTCCCCCCTCAACCGAGTACCCGAAGCGCAAAGTACTCGACCCGCCTCCTAGCCAATCACATGGCTAGATCGAGCCCAATCCGGCTCTGATACCACTGTTGGGAATTTCGTTCCCTCAAACTCCAATGTCAAGCGGGTCCAGGGGAAGCCCGTGGCGGGGGCCACCACCAATGAGCTAAGGCTACACCAACCGTAGCAAGTGGATCCGACACCATGTCTCAACCCAAAACCTTAAGGCATTGGGTTCATGGGTCCTTTCACTTATATACTCTTCACTTAGCTCATTACCAACCAATGTGGGACTCATCACACTTGAATATCTCAACAATCTCCCCCTCAAGTGTGAAACCCACCATTGGTATGCTCCCCCTCAACCGAGTACCTGAAGCGCAAAGTACTCGACCCGCCTCCTAGCCAATCACTAGTCTAGCTCGAGCCCAATCCGGCTCTGATACCAGAGTTGGGAAATTCCTTCCCTCAAACTCCAATGTCAAGCGGGTCCAGGGGAAGCCCGTGGCGGGGGCCACCACCAATGAGCTAAGGCTACACCAACCGTAGCAAGTGGATCCGACACCATGTCTCAACCCAAAACCTTAAGGCATTGGGTTCATGAGTCCTTTCACTTATATACACTTCACTTAGTTCATTACCAACCAATGTGGGACTCATCACACTTGATATCCCAACAATCTCCCCCTCAAGTGTGAAATCCACCATTGGTATGCTCCCCCCTCAACCGAGTACCCGAAGCGCAAAGTACTCGACCCGCCTCCTAGCCAATCACATGGCTAGATCGAGCCCAATCCGGCTCTGATACCACTGTTGGGAATTTCGTTCCCTCAAACTCCAATGTCAAGCGGGTCCAGGGGAAGCCCGTGGCGGGGGCCACCACCAATGAGCTAAGGCTACACCAACCGTAGCAAGTGGATCCGACACCATGTCTCAACCCAAAACCTTAAGGCATTGGGTTCATGGGTCCTTTCACTTATATACTCTTCACTTAGCTCATTACCAACCAATGTGGGACTCATCACACTTGAATATCTCAACAATCTCCCCCTCAAGTGTGAAACCCACCATTGGTATGCTCCCCCTCAACCGAGTACCTGAAGCGCAAAGTACTCGACCCGCCTCCTAGCCAATCACTAGTCTAGCTCGAGCCCAATCCGGCTCTGATACCAGAGTTGGGAAATTCCTTCCCTCAAACTCCAATGTCAAGCGGGTCCAGGGGAAGCCCGTGGCGGGGGCCACCACCAATGAGCTAAGGCTACACCAACCGTAGCAAGTGGATCCGACACCATGTCTCAACCGAAAACCTTAAGGCATTGGGTTCATGAGTCCTTTCACTTATATACACTTCACTTAGTTCATTACCAACCAATGTGGGACTCATCACACTTGATATCCCAACAATCTCCCCCTCAAGTGTGAAATCCACCATTGGTATGCTCCCCCCTCAACCGAGTACCCGAAGCGCAAAGTACTCGACCCGCCTCCTAGCCAATCACATGGCTAGATCGAGCCCAATCCGGCTCTGATACCACTGTTGGGAATTTCGTTCCCTTAAACTCCAATGTCAAGCGGGTCCAGGGGAAGCCCGTGGCGGGGGCCACCACCAATGAGCTAAGGCTACACCAACCGTAGCAAGTGGATCCGACACCATGTCTCAACCCAAAACCTTAAGGCATTGGGTTCATGGGTCCTTTCACTTATATACTCTTCACTTAGCTCATTACCAACCAATGTGGGACTCATCACACTTGAACATCTCAACAATAGGGAGTCTGATGTATGCCATGATTTGTACTCGACCTGATATTGCTCAAGCAGTGGGAGTATTGAGCAGGTATATGTCCAAGCCAGGAAATGAGCATTGGACGGCTGTGAAGCGTGTGTTCCGCTATCTTCGTGGTACGTCTGACCTTGGGTTATGCTATGAAGGCGTGAAGGGCTCAAGGGGACAGACATTGTTAGAGCTGAGATGCTTTGTGGATGCTGATTGGGGAGGTGACATTGATAGTAGAAGATCTACAAGTGGATATGTTGTTTCTTCATTTGGCGGAGCTATCAGTTGGATGAGTAAGAGGCAGAGCACTGTTGCTTTATCTTCTACAGAGGCTGAGTACATGGCCTTGACACATGCTGTTAAGGAAGCTATTTGGTTACGGAGACAACATATCCACTTGTAGATCTTCTACTATCAATGTCACCTCCCCAATCAGCATCCACAAAGCATCTCAGCTCTAACAATGTCTGTCCCCTTGAGCCCTTCACGCCTTCATAGCATAACCCAAGGTCAGACGTACCACGAAGATAGCGGAACACACGCTTCACAGCCGTCCAATGCTCATTTCCTGGCTTGGACATATACCTGCTCAATACTCCCACTGCTTGAGCAATATCAGGTCGAGTACAAATCATGGCATACATCAGACTCCCTACTGCACTGGCATAAGGAACTGACGCCATCTCTTCTTTTTCTTCTTCAGTCTTGGGACACTGGTCAGCCGATAACTTAGAACCAGTAGACATGGGAGTCAACACAGGCTTGCAGTCAATCATCTTGAATTTCTTCAGAACATCTTCTATGTACTTCTGCTGACTTAACCATAATCTTCGTTTGTCACGCTCCCTCTTAATCTGCATACCCAAGATCACATTTGCAGCGCCTAGATCTTTCATTTCAAACTGCTTTGCTAGCAGTCCTTTAACAGTGCTGATCATTTTCAAACTGTTTCCAACGAGTAACATGTCGTCAACATACAAAGTTAGAATAACAAAGTCACCTTCTAACCTTTTCACATTGGAGTTTGAGGGAACGAATTTCCCAACAGTGGTATCAGAGACGGATTGGGCTCGATCTAGCCATGTGATTGGCTAGGAGGCGGGTCGAGTACTTTGCGCTTCGGGTAATCGGTTGAGGGGGGAGCATACCAATGGTGGATTTCACACTTGAGGGGGAGATTGTTGGGATATCAAGTGTGATGAGTCCCACATTGGTTGGTAATGAACTAAGTGAAGTGTATATAAGTGAAAGGACTCATGAACCCAATGCCTTAAGGTTTTGGGTTGAGACATGGTGTCGGATCCACTTGCTACGGTTGGTGTAGCCTTAGCTCATTGGTGGTGGCCCCTGCCACGGGCTTCCCCTGGACCCGCTTGATATTGGAGTTTGAGGGAACAAATTTCCCAACACAAACCAGTCCACGCTCATCAACCAAAAGAGGGCAGCACCCTCCACTTCCTACGTTCCAAAGGCTCAAGCTTTTGCTGCATGCAACGGTGAAGTATTCATTCAACACCAATTTGAGTGGCGTGGAACAATGAGGAGCAGAAATTGCCTCACCTCCTAGGAAATGTCTTCGACTTGACATGGAGAGAGAGAAGATGCGCTACCTTCATGGTTGTTGTATATGACCGATTCAGTGAAGAAGAGAAGATGGAGGCTTGGATTGTGGTTCACCTCTTATAAACTACGGTTTAGAGGAGAATAAGCAGAAACAGAACATGCAAACTTTCAATTTAATGTACGGTTGAGCAAGCAGGAGAATACAAGAAGTGGGCTTTGGTGTTTGATGTTTTGTTGTCTTTTTAAGGAACTCACGATTTGTGGAATTGACGATGAGGAAGAGGATGCAACTTGGTTTGAGGTGTTTCTTCTTGTAGCTTACGGTTTGTGAGGGAATACCCTTGGCTGCGTTTCTGCTCTAAGTGAAATGAAAGGAATCAGATTGTGTAGATGTGTCTCCTTTCACTATGCGTATGGGAAAGAGGGAGTGAGATGGATAGGTGGCAATTTCCTTCACCAATAAAAACGCATGCAATCAGATTTTTAGGATTATCTAAGGATAGAGTAGTTGACACATTCTTGGCTGAACAACCCCTCTTCTAATGGGTTGGGCCGTGGCTCATTATGGATTTATGGGTTCTAATGCATCTCCTAATGCACACTAATTCAAGTACTCAAAAGTGACAACTAAGGTTCTTAGGTTGTAATTGAATTAATTCTA